CACACTGGGCACACACAGTACTATATTTCCGTTGATCCATACTGGTTTCAGAAGCCCTAGTATTTTATCTGTGACGTGAAAATGACGTGGCATGTCCTCTGATGTTGCCACCACCCCATCTTGTAGAAGGGATTGTTTTACTGGAAATGTTGCTCTGGGAAACAGGTGCTGTCCCTTGCCAGTGGACTGCATGCGGTGGGTTTAGGAGACACAGTAAAGTAGTGTAAGATTCTTAGGTGCCTTTCATACAGAGATGAGACTCTCGGTTGATGACAATTGTCCTGAGTAGTTGTTGTGATGGGTGTCCTGCTGTCCCTGCTCTCCCTTAGTAGTAGGTAGAACTGTACCAGCGTAAGGACTGACTGAGTCATTTCAGAGGGGCCATAGGACAAGGCTAGGGCAGCCAGCCTCTATCTCCCCCCAGCCAATCTGGCTCTGTCCTTGCAGCCACAGGACCCTCTGATCTTTTCACACACAATGGATTACAGGGAAAAAGGAAAATTCCTGGCCTGACTGATACCAAGTTGAAGGAAATAGCTGGCTTTTGTGGGGCAAGGGAACAAAATCCAGCAAGAGTGATAAACCTTTCACTGGCCTGAGTTCTGCTGAGTAGCTAGCTGCAGTGCGACATTGAGATTTGGGGCAAGGATGTGAACTCTGAGGGGCTATGCTAGCCACTCGAGAGTGAAGAAAGGGTGTTGTGCATAGGAGGAGGAGAAGAGCCAGGATCTAGGAATTCCAGGCTTGTGAGGTCCCACCATAGGCTTACTGTATTGCTCCTCGAAAGTAGACCTGTATTTCTGAGTTCAGGTAGCTACCTGTTTAGCTGTCCTCTGCCATTGATCAGAAATGACCACAGGCCAAACTCTCATTTCTTCCATGCCTGGGGCTCTTTACCTGGGATATGGGGTTGTATTAGTGTTACTGTATAGCTTGTATGAGAAGTAACTGAAAACGGTGTGTGTGTGTGTGTGTGTGTGTGTGTGTGTGTGTGTGTGTGTGTGTGTACCGGTGCATGTGTACATGTATATAACCAGACAGTGTGTTTAGGGATATAAATGTATCATATGTGGATATTCATTGTGTTTGCTGTGTACTTCATAAGGGTATTTCTCTGTTAACGGTAACACTCATAGCCTGAAGAGAAGTCCCAGGATGCCTTGCTGTGGGCTCACCCAGTGCTCTTTGAGAAAATTTTCTGGTTGGGGCTGAGAGTTGGTGCTCAGAGGCGTCTTGAATGGTGGTTTCCTGAGACTGCCGACCACCTAGTAGCCTCTTCAGGCTCCCAAGCCTGCCTTTGGGGAAGCGTCTGAAATAGATTCTGTCTTATACCATACCATACATGTTCCTCCTGTATCCAGTCTAGACCCCCAACACCTGAAGTCAGAAGGAGACTTCAACATTCCACAGTTCAGGGGCATTTTGATGGAAATCCATGGCATGCAGAGTGTCTCTCTTGGTGGCCTGCGTTCCTGCCCCTGCCCCTATTCATGTCCCTCCAGATGAAAATCCAACATATGCTCTGTCCATGTGCAGGCACTTGCTCTCAGGGTGCCACCGCATGCCGGAGTTTCCTGTTGGTCTTTTGATCTGTCTCACCTTCTTCGCCCCTGTAAGAGTCAAACACCCTCACCTTACCCTTCCAGCTAAGGGCAGTCAGACCACCAAGGCCCCTCTGTTCATAGCGAGCCTCTCTCCCCAGGCACAGCTTCTAAATGCTTTGTAAATTCTCTGTGGCCTTCCCCATAGAACAGACCGTCTGCCGCTGTCCCTGCTGCTGGTGAGGGATACTATTGATCCTGATGCCAGCAGACAACAAATAACTTTCAAGAGGGCACAGAGCGGGGGAGGGCCAACACTCTGTCCGGCTCCAACACCTTTCCTCTCTACTGCTCCAGGGGCTGGAACTCTACAGCCACAGAGGCCCCAAAGACTTCTTTAGTGTGTGTGTGTATGGGGGGGGGGCCTGAAGAGACATTGTAGCCAATTTAAAAGGTACAGTTCGACCTTGGGGTTACAAACAAGAGGCGGAAAGTCATGGATTGCTCTGGTGGCAGTCTGCATTCAGGGGCACATGGAAGGGCGTGTGCTCCCCCTTCAAGGTATGGTGACCTGAAAGTCGGCTAATTACTGTTTCTCTGTACCACATTACGTGTTGCAAATGTGTTTTCTACCCTGCATCTTAGTATCCACCACTGCTTAAATTCTTTCTTGTTAGCCTTTCAGAAGGGTGTTCAGATCCTGATAACTAAGTCTTCCCATCTGGTGTATGGGGAAGGGTACAGTTGGCAGATACTTTCTGACCTGAGGTTGATTCTCACAGCTCCCACAAAAGGTTACCCCCAACACACAACACACACACACACACACACACACACACACACACACACACACACACATGCACAAACACACACATACAACCTTGCACATAAAAGAAATCTTCTGCCCAGCTGCAAATCCATTTCCTAATCTCTCAGTATGCTTGGAGTCCTGTTTAGCTGCTGGATAGATGAGGGTGTGGGAACCTAATCCTCATCCAAGTCGTGGTGCAGGACTGCACAGCTCCTCGTAATCTAGTGGTCCCCTATGCAAGTACCTTACTAATGGAGCATCGGTACTCTTGGGTGGATGATGACTTGCCCGATGAGCCTTCCTTCCAAAACAGGAATGTGTCTGTCCCATCTGCCAGGGTTCTCCACTGTGAAACCAGACTTCCAATGCATCCTTCAGAAAGATGCACAGTACGAGTGAATTAATGCAGAGCAGTCCCCACTTACCAGCCAAAGCACGTGTGCTTCTTAGTTTATACTGTCTTGACACAACCTAGAAGTGCCTTGGAAGAGGCAGCCAGATTAGACCAGCCTCTCAAAATCTCAAGACGGGAGAGATTGTCTTGATTGATGATTGACGTGGTAGGCACGCCTTCCCTGGGCACAGTGGCCTGGGTTGTATAAGAAACCCAGCTGAGTAGTAGTAGATTTTGTTTATGATCTAACAAATAAAGCTTGCCCGGAGATCAGAGTGCAAAGCTAGCCACAGCCATAGAGACCAGACAGTGGTTGTATACGCCATTAATCCCAGCACTTTGGAGGCAGAGGCAGACAGATCCGTGTTAGTTCAGGACACCCTGGGCTACACCAGTGTGAATCAGTCTAAAAGAGAAACAGAGCTCACACAAAGGAGATCTCAACACTTTTGATCCCACGCCTTTAATCCCAGCACTAGAGAGGAATTTAAGGCAGGAGGACACAGGAGCTCAGTGCTGTCTGAGGTTTGGTGAGGAGTAGTGCAGTCGTGAATAGTCTGAGGCTGGGTGGATCGCCCCTTCAATTTTAGCATTGGGTAGAGGTGAGAACTCTCTTGTGGCTGGCTGCTTTGCTTCTCTGATGTTCAGTCTTAACCCCAGTGTCTGTCTCTGGGTTTTATTAATCATGCTAAACTGCTTCAGATTCCTGCCTTGGCTTCCCTTGATGATGGGTTGTGTAACCTATAAGATAAAATAAATCCCATCCTCCTAGAAGTTTCTTTGGTTCTTTCCAACTCCTCATTGTATACTCTGCTAAACACAATGCCACACTCAAGGAGGCCATCAGCCTTACAAAAGAAGCTGAGATCAAGGTTAGAGGGATAGAACTAGCTGAGTTTTCGACTCCAGAGAGAGGGAAGGGCCCCCTGGGAAAGGAAACAAATCCCAGAGTCCTCTCATGGGAAAGAGAATTTACTGGAGCCATCTCTGTTCCCTGGGGACATGGAGGTCTTAGGCCACAATACCAAGCAATTGTCCCATTAAATCTCCTCTGCAGGGACACTGCTATGGCTTTCCACCTATTACCCCTGCCTCCATAAGCATGTTCCTTTAAAACAGCTTTATTTAGACAGAAGTCACATACCATGGAATTTACCAATCCTCCAACATATTTGTTTCCTAAAAAAGCAAGTCTGTGCGCTTTAGCTACCAAGTTCCTGTACCTCTGTCTACCCCAGGGTGCTTCCTGTATTGGTGGACTGGTCCACTGGAGTCATTGTCTGTAAGTAGAATCCTACCCTTTGGGGCTGGCCTCTTCCACTTAGCATGGCTTTTCAAGGCTCAGTCATGTTGCACAAGCACGTGGACTTCATTCTTTTAACATAATGGAAGAAGGTTCCATTTGTAACTATATCTTGCTTTATTTTCTCATCAGTTAGCCACCTCTGGGCTATTTTCTTTTTCTAAGAATAGGCTACCCTGGGAGGTTCATGCACAAGTGTTCTCATGGCTTATATTTACTGTAGTATGTACATACCTAGGAGTGCAATTGCTGGGCCAAGGGGTGTGTCTCCATACGACTTTTTGTGGATCTGTCATACTTTTACAGACAGCCTTTGATGTTTTCCTGTCCCTTTCAAACTGCCTGCTCTCATTCCTTGTTTCTGCTCCTCTTAAACATAACATAGGCTTCTATTTTGTGTGGAGTTTTAACCCGTATGCCAAATTAACAAATGGAACTAGAAATAGGGGTAGTGTTGCCTCTGTTGGGGGTGGGGCAAGACCAAACTGCCTTCTGGGTAGGGAATGTTCTGTCTTGTGGTGTGATGCATTTAGGACTTCGCAAAGGCCCCCTCCCCCCACTGCAAGGAGCACCCTCCAGCCGCATGCATTTCCTCTGGAACAAAGTTTAAAAATATTTCTCATCATTTTCTATTATTGGGTATGAAGCCCATCCCTCGTCTTTACCCAGGAGGATGAGAAAGCCAACTCTGTTTTGCATGAGTGTTTTCTGGGGCCCAACTGTGGACTGAAGAGAGAGTTCCACAGGGCACAATAACCCTAAACATATGCATAGCAGAGAACTAGAAAGGAACAGACGTAAGTGGGAGGTCTCATAGAATATGCAAGAATATATGAATTCCCATAAATCCACAGGCTCGGACTGAGCGAGCACTACTAATTTCCACATTTTAAAAATCAGTATTACATAATGTTTGATAGGACTGCATTAATTGTGTCATTTTACTTATAGGCTGGAAAAACGTATTTGACTGGAAGAAAGAATCCGTGTATTAAGTTCCATACTTTGCTGGAAGTAAGTACTGCATGTTTTTGTACCTTTAATTCCTCACCTACAGCTGATTTCTTTTTCCTTGGAGATCACTTCCGTACCGCCTGTGGATTCAGTTATTAAGAAGTGATTTGGGTTGTTCTCTCTGACTGGGGGTTCAGTTTCATAGGACCTCCTTCCTCTCTTTAGAGTGGACTTCTACTGTGTTCTGTACTCAAAGCTAGTAGAAGTGGCATCTACCATGAGGAGGTCAACCTTGGAATTTGATTTCCTAGGACTTTCTTTTTGTCTTGGGTTTCCTCACTGGAAGAATGGGAGAGAAAACACCCTCCCCAGTGGGCTTACATTTGAGATGTATGTTGTACCACCCTAGACCCGTCTGTCAGTTCACTCCTCTTCTCCAACTACTCTTGAGTCCACTGCCTGCCCGCCTCGAAAAGCAGCACTTAGCAGGTAGTAGAGCCTATCTGATTCTGATCACTGGCATCTTTAACATTTGCAGAGACAGCCAGGCGTTGGTGGCGCACGCCTTTAATCCCAGCACTCGGGAGGCAGAGGCAGGCGGATCTCTGTGAGTTCGAGGCTGGGCTGGACCAACAGCCTCCAAAACAATACAGAGAAACCCTGTCTCGTAAAAACCAAAAAAAAAAAAAAAAAAAAAAAAAAAACATTTGCAGAGACTTAAAAGCATATGCTCATGGCAGTGTGTGTGAATATCTGTTTACATCCTGAATCAGGTACAAGAAGACAAACCACATGTTCTTACTCACATATTTATTAGGAAGGAGTTGGTCTCACAGACGTAGAGGCTTGTTGGTAGAGTGAAGATCTGTGAGGCGTTGATCAAAAAGATAGCATTTCAGCCCAATAGAAGGGAGTTCAGAGACTTGTGGTATGCGGTGGCTGTAATTCTCAGTGCCTTATAGTCTTGAAAAATGCTTAGAAAATGGATATTACATTCTTTTCCCAAACATGAGAGCTCTATGAGGTGATAGGTATGTTCAATGTCTAGATTTCATCATTTCACCATGAAGGTACCTTATAGCATCATGCTGTTCACGATATATAAAATTTTAACTGTTAGATTTATAGAAAGATTACACAAAACCTCTGTCCCCTGGATGAATTACGGTTACTCTCAGGACTAGCAATACGGTTTAGTAGACAGGGTTGCTGCCTCACTAGGACACATGGAATCCAAGGTTCGATCCCTGGCACTGAGTAAAACCAAACATGGTGACTCTTGCCTGTAACTACAGCACTTGAGACAGGGGGATCCCAGACCTTGGTCTGTGTAGGAAGCCAGCTCTGGGTACCTGAGACCCAATCTCTAACAAAACTACCTGATGCAACTAGCGAATGTCCATGCCTGGTCAAAAGTGAGGCTAGTAGTAGCAAGCTTCTAGGCAGTTTGTGAGTTTGTTATTTCCTCCCCCGGTGCAGTGGGGCTCAGCCTCTAAGCACTGCCCAGTGCTGCGCTGGAAACTCTTCTTGCCAATCAGGATCTTGAACTTGACCTCAGGTGGAAGTGAACATTGTTTGCTGAGGATGGAGGAGGGGCTGGACAGACCATGAGTCATGGTTTTGCAACAGTGTTTACTCTTTCAGCATATGCGCAGAGTCATACTCAATACAGGCTACACACTGCTGGTTTTCAGCCTCCAATTTGTTGGGCACCTCTATACTGCACCATCATCCTAAAGTGACTTCCCTGGGTCCCTTTTGGTCCTTTTGATGTCAGTAGGTTTCAGCCTTCAATTTGCCAGCGATGATTCAGGAAGCTTGCTGGCAGGCGGATGCCTGAGCCTGCGCAAGACTTGCTAACTCCGTGCAGTTGATGAATGGCAGTCAGCACATTTTGCAAACGTTTTGGTAGCTCCATTGCACCATTTAGGTACTATACACAGCCTGAGACCGACCTACACTTAAGGCCTTGCGAACAAGATTGAGAACTAGCAGATGAAAGTATTAGCTCTAATGTAAAAAGCGAGATGAAGGATGGAGATAGATACACATATTTACAGACCTTCAGATCGACTCGTCCAGGGAAGCTAGATAGGTTGAATTTGAGATGCATCTTCCTGCTGCAAGACATGACCCTCCAGACTAATGCAGCCTGGAAGGTAGGGTCAGAGGACGGCATCTGCCGAGATCCCTGAGAGGGAATGAATTCTGAGGTCTCACCCGGGCTCTGCATTATGGACTGGTGACAGCAGTGCCCACAGGTGACACCTGGCTTTTCTGCTCCTTGTGGCTCCTTCCCTGCTCAGGTTTTTGAAATTGGTTAGGTGGTAGGGGGTTGGGGTCTGTGGTTCCTGGATCCCTGCTGAGAGCCCATCTCCCCACACTTGGCTCTCAGCCTCACCGCTTTGTGCAGGGTCCGTATCTCTGTTTCCCATTTAAGAATCCTCCGCCTGGCTTTCAGAGTCTTCACCATCCCGACCCCTACACCCCTTCTCCAAGGCTCCATTATTTCCTTTCTGTTACAGCAGCAAGAAGATGCTCGCTCTGAACACGTAGAACCAACCTCTGTCCGCTTCAGGCATTCAGCACTCGTGGCAGCTGTCACTCACCCTCCAGCCTACGACTGCCCTTGACATACGGCTTTGAGAGCATTCTCCGCAAAGCCACTGTGAACCAGAGCATATGGGGACCACACTAAGGTAAACCTTGACAGTCTGGTTTTGTTGTGTTCTTCCTTACTCTTCCGTAGTGCCTAATCTTCTTCCTTTTGAAGTCTTGACTTCCTAACTAGATTATACACCCCAGGAATGGCTTCCAATGTGCAGTCTCCTACTACAGTATCTTTGCATTGGCAGACGCTTGAGAAACATGTTTTCAGAGCTGGTTAGCTTGGTGGTGTGCTGACTGGGGAGGAGACAGGCAAAGCGGAAGCAGTCATCGAAGGGTCACACGCCTGTCTCACCTGCTGTCCAGCCCATCTGTCTTCCCCCTTCTAGGCCAGGCCTTTTTACCCCACGGCTCTCCCAGTTCAAATGTGATTTGGTATGAGCATATACTGTATAATGATTAAATCAGGACAATTGGCCTTCCCAACCAAGCATCACTCGAGGAAAACAATTCCTAAGTCAATGTGGGCCACAGAGGATTACGGTCCTACTTCCTCATTGTCAGATTGACTGGAATCACCTGTGAGAGGCAACACGGGCGTACCTTTGAAAAGCATTTGACTCTCGTTAATTGAATGTGTTGTTTGACAGTTAGATCCATGTGTATGTGTGTCCTCACTAACTTTGCCTCCATTTTCTCTTCTCCCCACCCCTGTGACCTTCCCTCCCCGCTCCTGACAGGCTCTTCACCCATGTTCATGCTTTTGTTGCTGTTGTCATCATTGTTTCCTTTAATGGCACCCCCAGTTTAATGTAGGGCGTCTGAGTGACCACAGGTATGGAACCCTACAATGTGACTGTGATGTCACCAATAGGTATTCATTTGGAGATAACAGTTCCCTGTCCCTGAGAGTCCATCAGCAGCCAGTACTTCCGCAGGGAGGGGTGGACCTCCTAAGACCCTCTCCCATCCATCAGTAGCTGTTGACAGGTCCAGTCCCGTGTAAGCTCAGAGCAGGCAACCTCAGTTGCTGTGACATCATGATTATAAGGACTGTGTCATAATCAGAAAATGGTATTTCTTTATCCTTCTCCCACCTTTCAGGCTCACCACACGGGAGATCAAGCTTATAACCAGTGAACCATTTCAATCCATACTAATTCAGGTTGGGTGTTCTGGGCACCTTGGGTTCCTATGAGAGACCTACCTCTTCCTGCCATTGGCCCAGGCTTGCATTCATCTCCTGTCCCCTTTCTGTGTCCTGTTGGTAGATGCCAGGTGAGCGAGTCTAGTTTTCTGATGAACACCCCGCACCCGTGCTGGGGACTGTGGGAGAATCCCCCCCGCTGGGAACCCTGCAGTGATGTGAATGAGTCATAACTCACAGGCACATTTAGTTTCACGAGTGTTGTCATACTGTTTTTCCAGAATGACTGTACTGACTTACACTTCCATCAGCCATGCTCGGTGGTTTCTGTTTCCCCGTGGCCTCACCAGCACCTGGTATGATAAGGTGTGTGCATTTACCATAATAACCATGTCGGAGCAGTGGGTTGACTCTTGACACTTTGCTTGACACAGAAAAATCTCTAGTGGCAAGAAATATCAGGTAGGAGAGAAGACAAATCTTTCCAGAAATTCCCTAGAGCATCCCCCTAAGTCTGTGTTATTGTGCAGCTTGGGGCAGGTGTCCTCCGAGCCTGTCCCCATCAGAGGTGACAGGATTGCTGTGACTGCTTGGAGATCAGTGCTTCCGATTGCCAAATTTGAGCAAATCCCTGCCTGTCTTAAGCCCACACAGAACTGGGACTATTGTAATAAGCCAGGAGAGCAGAGGCCGACCGGCTTCTCGGCAAGTAGCCACTGAAAACCATCGGGTTTTCTTTTTTTTTTTTTTTTTTTTTTGCTTTTTTTTTTATTAATATTTTTTTTATTTTCCATTTTAAATTTAGATAAGAAACAAGGTTGCTTCACAAGTCAGTACGAGGTCCCTCTCCCTTTCCCTCCCCTCCTCCCGTGCCATTCCCCCTTCCCCCCCCCCCCCCGTTATCCCCTCTTTCCCCCAGGGAGGGTGAGGCCCTCCATGGGGGTGTCCATAGTCTGTCATTTCATATAGGGCAGGGCCTAGACCCTTCCCCAAGAGTTCAGGGTGAGAGTGCACCTCACATTGTTCTATGGGAGTCCAGAGACCGTATACTTGGGATGGGTACTGATCTGCTGTCCAAGGCTCAATTTGACCGGTTTCTGAAGTGCCTACTGCCTGCTCCGTGCGAGCAGCCCTCCCCGGATCTGTACGATCAACCATTCTCAGAGTTCACAAGCGGTGTGTTAACCACCGCTTGCCATTTCCCGGGGGAATGGATCTGTCCGGCTCATGTTAGAAACCTAACGTTCTTGAGACCCTTTTCACTCCAGGCAGCAGCCGTCAGACCCGTTCCCGCTCCAGCTGTCTGAGCTGGTGTCTCTGCATGCTCCCAATACAGAAAGTTTCAAGGGCAGCGCTCTGGCCCTGTGCCAGGACAGGTGGGAGGGAGACCTGCCAGGGGCCATTATCTCTGTAGGTCACTCACTGCTTCCCCTTCTCACCCACCACACGCATCTTCTCTCTGACCAAAGGGGAAAACACTCATTTTTAAGTGGTACCTAATTGTTAAAAGTCTGTTGACTACTCGCTGTCTGACGGGTGGCTTGGAGAATGTCTCATCCCTATGGTCTCATAGATGTCTCCGGACAACCGTCCAAGAGCCTACCTGTGTCGTGGCCACACATGGATACCAGTAAGAGACCAGCTTCCAAGCTGGGGTCTGGTTCCATGGTGGAGGGCTTGCTCAGCATGCACAAGGCCCTGGGTTCGATGCCCAGTGCCCAAATAAAAAAGAATTTTATTTCTGGAATTTATTATCAGGGTGACTTTAACATCACTGAGCTATCCCTTGTCATTATTTCAAATACTCAGAGGGTTTATGAGATAAAGGAGTTAGAATACACTCAAATATTAGACACTTCTTATAATCTTAGTTTTAAAAATGGAGACACCGGGAGGCTCGGAGGCATCAACTTATTAAACTTGCTAAATTTACCAGACAATGCTGACAAACAGAGCCACAATTGAAGCCTGGAGTGTCTGATTCCAGAGCTGCAGTTTAAGTATCTGATTGACTCTAGGTATCAGGGGTTCGAGTGCTCCCGAGAACAGTATTCTGTCTTCCTCTACAGGAAAATACATCTCTACTCAGCCACACTTTTTACAAAGAACACCTCTGCCACTCACCACAGGCAGAGCTTCCAAGACCTGGTCCATCTCTGTGGTCACCTGATACAGAGTCGCACACCTAGGAGGTGACTCGTGTCAGACACAGGAGCTGACTCTTGTCAGACACAGGAGCTCCTGTTAAACATCTCCTGGGCCAACCTGAATTCTGTGAATATAAGGTTATAAGACAGTGAGGATGCTGCTGGTTCCCGGGCCTGTTCTAAGTGTCAAGGAAGGGCCTGGTCCCCCTGACCGGCCCTCGTCACACATCTCATAGTGCCTGACAATGTCTAGAGCACCAAGTGATTGTGTACATACTTCACCTTCCTCAGTATTCTGGTATATGCGGTGCTAACAATAAGCCTGTCTTATTTTTTTTTTTTCAGATGAGAAGCATCTACTTAGAGATACCAAGTAACTTGGTGCAACTGCTGAATAGCAGACTGGAGGAAATTCTATAAGACAGTTGAACCTTCCAGAGTTGGTAGGTAAGTGTGCATCTCCCAGAATGCAATGTGCCCAGAGCTGGTAATGAATGAGGTGTTGGATGGTCAGTGTCTTCCTCTGACCTTCTAATCCTGGATTCCTTTTTTGGGGTTTCTTGGAGAGGAGCACATGGGGGAGCAGGAAGGTTGAATCAGGGGAAGAATAGAGGAGAGCAAGAAAAGAGACACCATAATAGAGGGAGCCATTATAGTTTTGAGAAGAGATCTGGAACTGGTGAGATTTCCAGAGATCTACAAGGATGGCACCAACTTGTAATCTAAGCAATAGTGGAGAGGCTACATTAAATGCCTTCCCTGATAATGAGCTTGATGTCTGACTACCTAGACCCTCCATCCAGTGACTGATGGAAGCAGAGGCAGACACCCACAGCTAAACCCTGAGCTGAACCCCTGGAACCCAGTAACAGAGAGGGAGGAGTAATGAGCAAAGAGGTCAAGACTGGGCTGGTTTAACCCACAGAAACTGCTGACCTGAACAAGGGGGAGCTCTTGGACCCCAGACTGATGATGGCTGAGAAGCTATCATGTGACTGTGCCAGACCCCCTGAATGTGGGTGTCAGTAAGGAGGCCTCGGCAATCTATGGGGCCTTGGGTAGTAGATCAGTATTTATCCCTGGCATACAAATGATCTTTGAGGCCCATCCCACATTGAGGTATGCTTTCTCAGCCTGGACACATGGCTGCCCTGGATGAAATGACAGACTATGGAGATCCCCCATGGAGGGCCTCACCCTCCCTGGGGAGCAGAGTGGGTATTGGGGAGGACTAGGAGGACTGGTGGGAGTGTGGGGGAGGAGGGAAGAGAGAGAGACCTGGGATTGACGTGTAAAGCAAGCTTGTTTCTAATTTAAATAAAAAAATAAAAAGAATAATAAAAAAGATGGGGTTTCTTCTGTATAGCAGCCCTGGCTGTCCTGGAACTCTCTTTGTAGACCAGGCTGACCTTGAACTCACAGAGATCCACCTGTCTCTGCCTTGCAAGTGCTAGGATTAAATGTGTCCACCACAACACCAGGCTCCTGGATTCCTTTTTTAAATTTGTTTTGCTTTTTGTAGGGGACTGTGTGGACCTTCTCAGCTATGAGAGTGGCCCTAAAAAAATGAGACACTCTTTCCAGAAAACAAAGATTCTGGGAGCTTGAAGAAGAAAGAAGAGAGCCCGTTCCCTCCCCAGCCAGGATGTCTCTCACCATACTCAATACTTCCCACCAGGATCATTGCTGGACTGTCCTCTTTCAACCTAGGTCTGATGGAATATTTGCCTGGAAATTTTACTTTCAATTAAACTCACTTGCTAAACCGCTTCTATCTTCAAAGGTTTCCATTAGGATGGGTAATTACAGCTATTGCTACAAGGCATTATTTGCGCTCAATTTCAGCTTTTAGGCAATTCAGCTCAAACGTTTCATATTTTTACTCTTGGGAGGGGTGTGCAGCCAGCATCCTCTTACACTTTAGGCTTCCCGTGGGCTATTTTTAGAAACCTGAATCAAAACAGCAATTTTGGTGGTGACCATACCTAGTCTAAACTCAAGTGTTGATGGAAACAGCCAAAAGCAAAAGCTATACAGAGCAAGAAAGACACCCCCCACCCCCCCCACCCCCGTTTATGGGTCAAGTGTTTGGAAACTTCAAGTGATCATTTATATTATGGTAATTCTTTGCAAACTAACTGAAGCCAAAAAGCAATGGAAATTCCTTCCAAACTGCAGAGATTTGTCCTTCTGCTGACTGTTGGTCCTAATTATGGCGCTTCAAGATGGCAGCCATGGAAGAGTTTAGTGGGGAGCCTGTTTTGATGTCTGTGTTTTCCATGAAATGGGAATTTCTTTCTATTTATTGTTTGTGTGTACATTGAGTGTATATTTGTGTGTGTATGTGCATGTTTGTTTGTATGTTGTATATGTGTGGTTACAAGTACTTGTATGTTATAGCACAGATGAGGTTAAAAGCCAGCTTTCAGTATATATAGCTTCAGGAGATCCAATGCCCTTTTGTGACTTTTACAAGCACCGGCCCACATGTGGCAAACACCCACATATACACACACTCATATACACAAAAGAAATAACATAGTTCAAGTATTGTTTTAAGCATATTTATGGAAACCTTCTGGGAAGAAACTGTCTTTTAAAAATTACTGTGTATTATAATGTTTTGATTGTAAGTGAAGAGATTCACATATTATTGATTGAATAAAAGTTAAGTGGGGCAAAAAAAAAGCCAGCTTTCAGGGGTTGGTTTGTTCCTCCTGCTGTGAATTCTGGAATACAGCTCAGGTCACCAGGTGTTAAATCAAGCACTTTTACCCTCTCAGCCATCTTTGGGCCAAGAACACTTTCCCTGTATTCATAACTCTGCTCTCTTTTCTTCTTCTGCCAGCAGACATGCAGTCTACCTCATGATTGCTAACCTACTCTCTCTCCACAAAAGTTAAGTTCTCAGCTATGGACCATGGCTGTTCTCTCTCCCGTCACGTGCCTACCTCGTAATAGGTGCTTGCGTGATGAATTGATGAATGAATAAATGAATGAATCCTCTATGACTTTTATTTTCTGTTTTTGAAAAAGTCAATATTTTACTGAATAAACATTGAATGATTGCATTCATTTTGAAACACAAACAAACAACAAACCCCTAGAAACTTTCCCAAGAAGGCCGACATACTTCTAATGTGTAAATTGCAAATCTTTGCCTCATCCTTATCTCTGTATAGGGAATAATTTGTCATAATCCTGGAGCACATTTTTTAATAAAGTGTTATCATGCTAAGTGGGTATGTCACCTTTGATTTGAACCAAATGAATTTGTGTGTTTTCATTTGTATGTATGCACATGTGTGCAGTACATGGAGAGACTTGATAACAGTCATGGATGCTTTTTCTCAAGGACTTGCTATCTTGTTTTATTTGTTTGGTTTGTTTTGGGTCCCCCCCCCCTTTGTGTGTGTGTGTGTGTGTGTGTGTATGTGTGTGTGTGTGTGTGTGTGCCAGGTCTCCCACGGGCCTGGCACTTGCCAATTATGGTATGCTAGCTGGCAAGCACACCCCAGAGATCCCCCTGACCTGGCATCCTGGCACTGGGATTGCAAACATGTACCACACCCAGATTTTTACAGGGGTTCTGATGATCAAACTTAGGTTGTTACATTTGTAGTGCAAGTACTTTACCAATTGAGCTGTCTCCCCAGTCCCTCAAATAGTTTTCCCTGAATGTAGTCACTATATTTCCAGTTTTTGTTTTGTTTTGTTTTATAACTTAACCAGCTAGCTACAGCATCTTTTGTAGCAATACCATATTTCATCAAAATCAGCCAACCAACTTGGGGATTATGCCAAAGAAGCAAGCAGAATTGTGCAAAATTCTGAGACTGGCCACAGAGAAAGAAACAAAAATCACTCATCTTAAATCTCAGGCATTGTGTCCCAAGTATTCCATAATAGTAGGTCTGAAATCCAGTGAGGGAGTAGTTGGTTACCACCACAACTTTCATGTCACTACTGCACCAGTGGGTGAGTCTGAACTGGCAGATTGGCAGATTGGCATTGGAGCTCATAGGGTTCACAGATGGATGAAACAGTTGATATGCTTCCCCCGGCAGTTTGCACAGCACCTGCCAGCACCATGAAAGTTATCCTGCTGAGAGGAAGTTTCCTCCTCACTTCCAACTTATCGTCATCTTGAAACTGAGGTGTGTGGTGTCTTTCAGCAATGGTCTTATTCACTAGTTCTGGTGAGCAACCAATAGAAATGGCAAGAGCTTCCCTGAGAACACTTAGTGGCGGATCTCATATACGGCGTTGGGTTTTTAACAACCCATTACTTTTAGAAGCAGCATTATCCAGACATGTATATGCCTTTCAGCTTTTTTTTTTTAATCGTAGTTTTAGTTGACCTACAAAGTTGTAGGTTCCCATATGGTCCTTGTGTACACCTGTTCTGGTTAATTCTCATCTCTCCTGCCCGTTCACTTCTTCATGTCCCACCCTTATCTGTTTGAACCTTTCTGTCTCCTCTAGTCTCCGTTTCTTTCATATCACCCATGCGCATCTAGTCTCCCTCCCCTAAGTCATTCTCCGTACTGATGGCCCCTTCTAGTTTTCTGGCTTCTACAGTTGTTGTAGGTTTAACCCACAAATAAGATCCACAGACAAGACTCATATGTCAGAGAGAACACGTACTTGGTATGGTGAAGGGGAAAATAGCTAGTAAAATACAAAAAGTTGAAAAGCACACCCACTGGGAATATGTCATCTGGTGTTTCAAGTCCCCCCTCACCTGCTAATAGGTCATCTCATGAGTCTATGACTAGACCTGAGAGGCCAGCAAAGCCCAGGAGGTCGTGTTTCACAAGAGCGTCTTGAGGGGTTCTGGGCCCTTCTGACACATGCCAAGTCTTTCAGGGAACCACAAGAATGGCCCAGAGGAAGTTCTAAACCACTATGATTCATGGGTAGGCTTTTTCTTCCTGAGACCTGAGCCATAGGGTATTCCCCACCTATGTAGCTCGGCACCACAAGGGTCACTGGCTGCTCTTCATGTGCCTGAGACGGGTGTGACTTATCAGAAGAGGTTAGCCTTGCCATGTGGCACGATCACTTTGGCCCTTAGTCTGTACATGATGTGGTTGCATTTGAGAGGTCATGATGAATAGGTGTGAAAGATGAATGAGCTGTAGCCCGGCGGTATCTCAGCCTTCTGTGTGCCTCCAACCCCTCAACTCCCGTTGGCTTCTGCTTTCCCTGGGTTGAGCAGATTCCTGTAGGAATAAGGCCAGATTCTAGCACACACTTCCCTTCATGAGATGCCAAGAACACACAGCTAAACCTCTTCCACTCTTTGCTTCCTGCCTGCTGCGTCTACTGCTGAAACAATGCTATGCAATAGACATCCTACCCATTCCTTTCCCTTTTGATGGAGAAGGCATATTTTTTTCTGGGTGTGACAGTGCACACCTGTCATCCCAGCGCTTGGGTAGCTGAGGCAAGAAGATTAAGAATTCCAGATAAGGTGTAAAACCCCATCTCAAGACAACAAAAAACATAATTGTGCAGGTTCTGAACTCTAAATGAATATCTAGACCACACACACACACACACACACACACACACACACACACACACACACACACACACCGGAATCAAAGGGAATGGAGAAGATTTTATTGGTCAAGTGTACCTGGCCAACTGATGATATGAATTAGTAAGTAAATCATGGGGTTCTTGCTGTGGCTAATCGCTGATGTTCTTGACTACATGTGTTGGGATCTCTTGCAGATCAATGCAGTTCAATCCAAGTGTCTCCCCCTACTCTGTATTTCATATTCTGAACTCTTACCCAATGCATATTCACAACTGGTGAACTTTCAAAAGAAAAATGAGACAACCTACCCTAAGAACCATAGACCCTTGATTGGGAAAGCAATGGCATGAGGAATACTCAAACATAAATCCCTTGGCTTCTCAAGTTCAGTTTATGGAAACTCCCTTCTCCCGGGGGCTTCCCTGAGGAGCAGCAGGGCTCAGGGTACACACACACACACCCAGAGCACTGGTTGAGTTCTGGGTTAGCATGCCTCTCCATCAGAAATGCACCAACCGGGAAGGTCTCTGGTTCTGAATAACTGCAGTGGGAGGCCTTATAGGCAGAGATTTAGTGGTCTCCTATGCATGTCCCTAGTGCAGGTCCCCTGAAAGGAATTAGGAAGTGGAGGTTTTCAGATTGAGTGAACCAGTAAGTACATCATTCATCTCTGACTCAGCGTGTGTCCATTTCCTATTCATCTTAGCATGCTAGGGGCACATCTGGTGACTTCTCTGTGTCCCCAGCAAACATCTGAACTTCAGGTGTGTTCACTTTGGTTTCATATAAGCGAGTCCTCTGTCACCTAGCTTCCAGCTGAGACTGAGCCCCCCCCCTTTTTTTTTTTTTGGTTTTTCCAGACAGGATTTCTCTGTGGCTTTGGAGGCTGTCCTGGAACTCGCTCTAGTAGACCAGGTTGGTCTCAAACTCGGCCTACCTCTGCCTCCCGAGTGCTGGGATTAAAGGCATGCGCCACTACTGCCCAGCATCCCAAAATTTTAAACTAAGAGATATATGAAGCACATTGGATCCCTACTCCCCTCTTAAAAAATGGTGGTGGGCCATACCCAGAAACCATCAATGCTTGTGGCAGGTGGGCCAGCTGACCCTGAGGTCATAAGAGAGGGATAACGGCCCCTGATCGTCACCAGATGCGATACTCAGGAGAGCAGGCCCTGCACATTCCTTGTACAGCACAGTAGAGCCATTCCAGTTGGCAGCGGTGTGGTTGAGCCACCCCCAGGGTTGTGGGTATGGAAGAGCTGTCTCCACTACTCATCTGTCAGGTGGCAACACGGGTGGGGGAGAGATAGCCCCCCCATCAACACCTGAGGCAGTTGGTCGGGCTAGCCCTGATGTCATAAGAGCGGGAGAGCTGTCCCTGCCCCTCATCAGCTGCAGAACTCAGAAAGGTGTCCCCTACACCACGCCTGGACAACACAATAGAGCTGGCCCTGAAGGTGTAGGAGTGGGAGAGCTCAGCCTGAGGACATGGAAGTTGAACAAACGGCCCCGCCCCTTGCTCATGGCTGTAAGGGGTGAACTAGTAGCTAGGGCAATGCTGGAGAGCTCACCCTGGCGGTGAAGGCAGAGGAGAGCTGGTGGGCTGACCAACCCTGCAACTACTCAGGCCCAGAACCAGGGTTATGTCTTGGCCCACCCCAATATCCTCCCCATCTGTGATCTGCTGGAGCACAGGGGTTGGGGAGGGTGTGTTAGTTCTATGGACCCAGGGCTGCAGGATCTCCATGACAGGGCAGCAACGGGATGTCCAGGAGGAGTCCCAGTGAGGACCCTGTGTTGATGGTGCAGCAGAGATCAGGGGCTGCAAACCAGACCAACGATTCTTTGCAATGAACGCTTGCTTGCATGTAAAAATGTGTGGATAAACGGATATAGCATGTTCTATATCCAGAAAAAAAAAGAAAAAAAGTCAGAAGTAGAACCACGGTATTAAAGAATATGGATGTTGCCAAGCTGTGTGTGTACTTTCATTTAAATTAGTAGGCTTTTTTTTTTTCCTGAGTAGGTATGGATTTATCAAGAAATCTCTGAGTCCCCGTTTCCTTTTCCCTTACGCCATATTATTAATACCTTGCATTACTGTGGTATATTTGTTAGAATTTATATTGTAATATTGATGCCTTATGAGTGAGCGAAGTTCTTTCACTACCGGTGTCCGGTGGACCTATTGAGCTTGGCTAATGCATAGTATTATAAATCTAATAGATCATCTCTGGATCATAAGGAAACTTTGATGCTCGCAATGCCTTAGAAAGTCCCAATACTCTAGGCATTCATCCCTTTCTTCCTTTCCTTTCCTTTTTATTTATTTACTTACTTATTTATTGGGTTTTTTTTTGGAGTCAGGATTTCTCTGTGTATTCCCGGATGTCTTGGAACTAACTCCGTAGATCAAGCTGTCCTTGAACTCAGAGATCCGCCTGCCTCTGCCTCCTGAGTGCTGGATTAAAGACATGTGCCACCAACACCCAGCTCCCTTTTCTTAACTTTTAGCAAGCACTGGTTCTTTTACTGTCTCTATAGTTGTGCAGTTCAGAGAATATCACACAGTTGGAGACACATAATTGGTAGCCTTTTCATACCTGCTTTTTGCACATGAACTCAAGTTATTGACTGATATTCTATAGTCTAGATGAGCCAGAGTTGACCTATCCTGTCTGCCTGTGGTGATATCTTGCTTTTTTAAATATA